TAAACATTAAATAGCATCACCATCAACTCAATATGAAATAGAAATAGCAGGGATATCTTTAGGACCTTCGTCCTGATGAACTCAATAAATAGCATCACCATCAAAATCGAAGAGAAAAAATCACATAAATTCATAATCACCAACGGATAATGAAAAATTGTTAATTAAATTTAGTGATAATCTGAATGTTTAATCAACTAAAGGCAAGAGAACAAAGGAAATTGCCATACTGTAAGATTAGTGATGACTGCTACCATTCCATATGCTTTGCAACTGCATCAGGCCTGAAATTGTTACGCTCAATCATGAGAAAGAGAGAGGGGCAGGCAGATCTTCAAAACTTACATTTTATCGATCTGACAAAATCAATGATTAACTACAAAGACATAATAAACCTTCACTCCATCATACCATCTTGAGGACTAAATTATTCAATTATAAAATTATTAAGCTATTCCAAATATGATTCATTCCGCCCACTCCCAAGCTCATTCACGTTTGTTTAAATTAACCCAAAGATTATTAAGCAAATCCTAAACTGAAACAACGTGTTCATATACTTGAAGAAGTGCTAGCAGTGCACTGACCCGAGAGAAGATGAAATCCATTCCCGAAGGGTTTGAACATTCAACATAGTTTCAGCTGTTGTAAAGGTCTTCAAAACTACCACAACTGCAAATATCAAAAGAATATGAATGAACGATAAGAAACCCCACATAGAACTTAGATTACAACAGTCAATATTTAGTGATATAAATAAACTAAATGCTTACCTAGGGTAGTTTCTGGGTTTAACCCTGCAATATTTCTGGCAACATCAATAGGATCAACGTTTGCAAGACTGCATATATACAGAGGAAAATAAATTATTAGATTACCCTTAGACCCGAATCATCGATCCTCTGATAATAATAAAAAAATTATATGCCACAAATATTTTTCAGAAACGGAATACTGCCACTCTTTATGGGCCATGCTCTCCACCAACATTCGGTTAATCTTTTCTTTGAGGGATGCAGCCTGCATTGTGGCATAGACAACATTAATTAGACAACACTATATTCACCCAATCCCTTTCCCCCACAAGACACTAGTTATGAACGGGCCAACCCCACCTCTGCCAATTTCCAAGGTTTCAGGCGTGGCACGTTGCTGATTTTCAGAGATGCCTTTACGTTGTTGATAAACGTGAGTCGCTAAAACCCTAGCTTGATGTATTTGCAGAGATGCCAGACCCGCCAGGAAAAAAGAAATCTGCCAAAAAAAACGCCATTCAAGTTTTCCAAAAATCGGCCGCCTAGGCGGGCTAGGCGGTTCCTTGTTTTTTTATTATTAAATAAATAGGGCTATATTTAAGTTTAAAGATTGCAATAGACCCGCTAGTAAAAAAGAAATCTGGAAAGAAAAAAAAACGCCGTTCAAGTTTTCGAAAAATCGGCCGCCTAGGTGGGCTAGGTGGTTCCCTTTTTTTAAAAAAAAATAAATAGTGTAGCCGAGCGGCTATACTATATTTAAGTTTTGTAATTGCAATTCTATCTAAAGGTAGTCTATCTTCAGAAAAAGAAAAATAAATAATTCAATATGAGGTCTCTCAATTCCGAGACTGATTTATAGTTTTTCTCTGCCTATGCACTGGGAGCCTATAAGCATGGGAATATCTAATATTTAAGTTTCAGATTTCGCCATTAAAATGTTTTGGTAGCTTCTCATTACATCAAGGCTGGTCTAAACAAATGGAGGTGATGCCATTTTGGTGTTAGCATCAAATGGCATTCATTTTCTCTGGAAATGGCCACATGACCTTAATTATAGTGGAGTGCTAAAGAATGACATGCTTTATAATTCTTTCCTATTAGATTTCTCCTCTCTTTCCTTTCGATCCGACGCGACAGTTGGTCATTTGATTATGATGATATTGATTGAATACAGGCAACTCCCAAGGTTCACCCTAATTTATGGAAACCAAAGAGTGGCTTAGAGATGATGAACAATGACCTTCCCAGCACCAACCTTGAAGACTCTATGTCCTGCTTTGATTTGTCCAAGAATGATTCCTATCTCATATCAGCAAAAGGAGGGAAGATCTCCATTTTTGACATGACAACATTTAAGGTAAACCCAACAAAAATAGTATTCTTGAAATTTTCTATTCCTAGCCAAAACTTCCCAAATCTTGTTTGTCAATATGCTTAGCTAACCTCTGGATGTCTCAAAGGAGAATACATCTTCAAGCATCTACCTTTGTTGCCGCAAATGCATAACTTACGCTGATGTCCCTCATAGATTTGCACTGACCTCGACTACTCATATCAGAGAAAATTGATCTTTATGCTCGTTGAACAGTTCTTCAGCATCTGAATGCATTGAAATATGATTGAAAGGGATGAAATAATGATCAAAACCAATATTTTAGATGCAGTTAAGTGAAGAACTGGTGTCGAAGTTTTGAGCAATGAAAAAAAAACAATTTTGCAGTCACATTTTTCCTGTCAACCTGATTTGATGTCTTCAATATGTCAATATGAAATAGAAAAAACAAGGATAGGTTCCTTCCATTATATTTTATGCTCCTTTTGATAACTGCATCCCCCGCATGTTTGTTAGCAAATGCCTGAAATTTGTCTCCACAATCCAGACACAGTAGTTGTTGTGAAAATGGACAAACACTTTCACTCACTCCCCTAATGATCTTGTTGTTGATGGACTTTTGTGACACACACAAGGATGGATGAATCACACACACACACACTTGAGAAACCAACCAAGCACAAAGTGACACAAGTATTTTAGAGGTTCAGCAATTGCCTACATCCTCTTGGTGATCCTCTTGAAAAATTCACTAATGAAAGAATAAGTTACAACTTTGGTTTACAAAGAAACCCCCTTAGAACTCTATTCTCTCCCAAGCTCTCTTTTCTCTCTC